ATATATACGATTCTAAATTATTCCTAAGTACTTGTACTGGAACGATTACCATTAATGCCTTGTGAATTATACATATGTGTTCGCTAGAATTTTAATCTGTGGGTAATCAAAATCCCGTGATATTTTAAAATGTTTTTATCAAGGAGATGAATGACGTATCTAGAGTTTATCGACAAAACGTCATAATATCAGTTTATTATTTAATAGTATATGGGCCTGTTCATACAACTTTTTCAGTTACTTTTTATTTCGTATACTATCTAATATGCGTGTTATGACGTCATTCTTACACATAGTGCACTCTTTCCAGGTACCAAAGTCATTTATTGAAATGCCAATTTGGGAAATGTTGAAAGTAAGTTATACATTATATTAGCTTTCGTTCCATTGTGATTTATGTTAGCGTTTTACCCCCGCCATTTATTAAACTGTGGGAGTTGATGAAAATACGTTATCCCGGTATACATTATATTAGCTTTCATTCTATCATGTTAGTGTTTCACCCCCGGCAAAATAACACTTATTTAACATTTATTGAAATGCTAATTTGTAAGTAAGTTATACATTATATTTGCTTTCATTTTACCCCGTCATAATAACCCTTTAAATTTTTTTGCTGATCTCAGACGTGTTGGTCTAGAAGAAAGTGTAGAAAGGTCCACTCATTTGAATCAGCAATGTGTGGTGCTATCGCGGGTAATTATAATTATTTTGCATTTCCATGACAGTAATTGAATTCAAATATTAGGTGATTTCAAAATGTGACAATGGAAACATCACACATAAATGAATTCATTTTTCATGATGAAATAAAAACTTCCTAGTCAATCAACTTGTTTCGCTGATATCATATATAATTCTTATACTACTTTAATATGATAGGTGCTATTGTAGGTTGCGTAACGACGCCATTAGATGTGGCAAAAACAAGAATAATGTTAGCCAAGGTGAGATTAGATATAATTTATTTATACATACATAACGTTCTATGCGTACTATGGTGGTGTATTTGTAAGTTGTTTCTCAGCTATCTGTGACGTGCTTGCAGTTACCCTTTACATAAGCTTAGTTATACCAGCCATAGGGATTTTAAGGATTTGGTGTTTAGTCTATATTGTATGTCGTCTTATGCGGCTTAAATCACATACTATATTCATACTTGAACGTCATTAAATACAAGTTTTAATATATCATATTGTACATTTAAGTAGTCCTACATTCCACCTCAATACTTAAATATACATAATTACAAGAGTGAGAATATAGAAAAATAGCATTCTTTAAATAGCAGTGGCGGATCCAGCAAAATGTATTGGGGGGGTCCAAGCTTCGGTTAAGATATACGGAGCGTAAATCGCAGAGAAGCTATGCGTAATCCGGATGATATGAATCGTCATGCGTTGGGGGGAGGGACGTGACACCCCCCCTCTGAATTCGCCACTGCTAAATAGATAGTGAGAAGAAATTGTAACACTAGATCATACTAATAGTAATATTTTCTGCGATTATTTCTTTTTCCAGAACGGTACATTCACTGCAACCTCTACCATATTACACATGGTATGGCGAGAGAAAGGTATCCAAGGGTTAGTATATCAAAGCGATTTTGTGAAACATAACAATGTGAAATATCTGTATTTACTGAATATTAAATTGTTTTCATTTCAGACTCTTTGCTGGAATGCTCCCGAGAGTTTTACGTGTTAGTTTGGGAAACTACATTTTTTTTGCTGCATATGAAACCTTTATATCGAAGGCCATGTACAACTAATACCAGTATTTTGTCAGGGGCGAGATTGTGGGAAATAAAAATGATGTGCGATTTCCAGTAACACATGATTTAATACACCATCACAATATTCTAAAAAAGGTCGTATATTTGTTCTGTGTGTGGAGCCACGGCATTCTCTGTCAATCTGGCAGTCTGGCACAGCTCACAGGAGTTTTACGTTTTCCTTCAAAACGGAACATGAATGAATTTATGTCTCTGAATGATGAACATACCATTGATTGACATGGCATGTTACGATGTAATTGGTCCATAAGCTGCCTTAGCAGCATTTACACCGAATGATGACACCTGCAGCTTGCTATACCAATGTTCTCATTGACCTTGGTTCCATGGACTTTACGATTTGCAGTTTTTGGGTAATATATATTCTGGGATGGCGAGTCATTGTATTATTCAAAACTATGTCCTACAATTGGAAATGCCTGCGTGCAAATACGTACAAAATATATAGCATTCATTGTCGAAACCATTGTTCGTAGTTGGTGCTAGAAGGACCCGGACAATATAATAACATGGGGAATATATATGGTAGCTGTATGGGTAAATATATTATTAAACCTACGAAAGACATATATATATATATATTGGAAGAGGCCACTGATTGGATGTATCTTGAACTGCAACACTTTATATAGGCTACTGATTGGTAGATTGGAACAATACCTGGTGTGCATATTATGGTGTATAATAATATACCGGTAATATAAACATTGGTCTGATGTTACACGTTCCTGATTTGACATTTTGTGTTGTGGACCAATCTTCGGCGGAAGTGCGTGTTTATGCAAGTGAGTCTGTGTGCAGCACTACCATTTGAGGGGAGTCTACCGTGCTAACTACGTCGCCGCCCGTCTATATATACATGAATCCCAACGGTGAATAGTTGAAAGACGTACTGAAGACACCCGGTAACGTGGCAATTAATACACATACACACAGTACTCCACCAGGGTTGCGTTTATTGTAATAAATTGTATTATTTTGAGAGAACTATTTATATTGTAACTTACCATTATTTTGATTTATCCATTAAAATACGTTGTCAGTCAGCATAGTTA